AAGGTCGGTGATTTCGGATGAAAAGAAGGTTGCCCTCCTCTATCTAGACAATCAGGAGGAGGAGAATGAGGGACACTGGTTTTGATAAACATATTTTGTTTTAAATGCCATCTTATTGGGTAACATACCGACACACAAAGGCCTTTACTTCCTTTAGGGGAGGGAGGCGCACTCTTTATTAAAACCTCCCCCCTTTTTTACTTTCTTTAAAGAGTGCTCCAGGCAATGTCAATTTACTTGATAATCTGTAAAGATTTCAAACTAATTCATGCCTTAAAAGGCTTTGGAATTTTATTGAGTTGGAACTTTGACAAAAATATTTTTTATCTTTTTAGTCTTAAAAGTTCCTTGTTCTGGAGTTTTCTTTCTACTCTACCATTCTTGCACCAGGTCACAGAAATGCCTCACATCTGTTTGAAACTATATCTAGGTAAGATGCCTAAATGGTAATGAGGTTAAAGTAATATATTTAAGAGTAAATCTTATTTGCATGTGCTAACATTGAATAGTAAACTAACATTTTAAGGGAAAAATGAATACATTTTTCTCTTTCCAAAGTCTTTTCAAAAAGAAATCATAGGAAATAAGCAGATTTTTAAAAAAGCTAAATGATTTCATCTTAGGAAAAAGTTATTTGTCGTAGAGTTAAATTCATTTAAAGACTTGAATGAATTGCTTTCTATGTGCAGAAATTTAAATAATATAGTATTTTATTTATGGAGAGGACAGCTCCAGCCTCCTGCAGTATATCAGGTCAGCACACTAGGTACGTTTGCATAAGTTCCTGGAACGCTGCACTGGGTCCAGGCAGGGACAGGGGCTGGGGGGATGATTATTGGGAATGCCTTACAGTACCAATTTTTTGCAGTACTAGGTTGTTTAGTGCACAGTCTAAATATTCTTTTTTGTTATAACCTAAGTTCTGGAGTAGCCAGCTCTTACCAAGGTATACTTGAGCTTTTCTGCACTTTAGCCTCTAAACATTTAATTTTACTGATGGGAGGTAGACCCTGAAGACAGTAAAAAGAACGTTGATGCGCAGACTGTAGCTGGACTTGTGGGATGGTCATGCACAGTAAAGTTGAAAGCCCAGGTGGGCTGTGCCTCCCAAAGAAGCCCTTTCCAACCCACTGATGATGGGGTGGAGGCCTTTCTGAGCGCAAAGAGTTAGAGATGGAAAAACGGCAATCAACCTCATGGAGGTTTTTGCACTTTCCACAGAAATCATGACAGTGGCGGTGTTTTGTCCAGGGAAACAAATAATACATTAAATAGAATAAGGTGTTTTGGGGAGGGAACTGGGTGCCTCTCCCACCGCCCAGCCCTGAAGCACCCAGGAAGGGCCCTGGAGGAAGGCAGAGGCCCTACTCTTCTGGGCCACAGAGTGTGGCCCTGTAGATATACACCACTGAGTTTAAGATACTAGAATGGGTGTGTTCTGTTGGATTTATTTTATTTTACATAAAGGTATTGTTTTTAAAGCTTCCTTCTTTAAAGGTGTAGCCTCACATAAAGATAGTATCTCTAGGAGCACAGTATTGTAATCCAAACTAGTTTCTTTCACTCAATGTTGTCGAAACTGTACTGCCCCTAACTTTGTCATCCTCAGGTAGGACATGATGATGGGGGCCGGTTATGGAATTTGAGGGTCTTCCCTCTAGGTTTTACTGATGGCCCTCAGACCTCCACAACGCATATCTCCTCAGCTGCCAGGAATGGCTACAACAAGTAGTTTAGGGAGAGTGCGTTTTCCTAATCAAGAAGTGGAGGATCAATGCAGCACAGCTTTCAGGGTGATCTATTTTTAAAACACCGTGAAGCAGGGTATAGAAGGAAAGTTGATTTGAATTGCAAGTGTAAACCTTTGTTATCTGCCAAATGCACTAGTGATTGTCAGAAACTGGTATGGTGGTGATGGCTTTGCCAATGAAGACTTCTTGTTTCTAATAAAAAGATGAGTTGATTTTACGTTAGTTGTAATTGGTAATGATTTGTATAAGTTATTTATTGGTGAGAATTCGGTCAAGGTGACAGCCTACTGTTTGATGGCAAGACAGACTGATGATGGCGGGAGTCTGTTATGTGTGTCTAAGTAGGCTTAGTTTAATGCCACTCTCCTAGCTTGTGACCTTGGAAATGAGGGCTAATGTGAATAGGTTTATTAAAGTCATGACCGACCTCCATTGGAAAATAAATGTCTTAGATCTTAATTTTTATCTCCGTGTTGGAATGCATATCTTTAAGAAGTATCCTGACAAGAGTATTTACCAGTATGGAGTCATGAGCTGTTGTTGGTTACTAAGTCTCTGGAACACCCAGGAGCAGGGTGTGCCCTTGACCCTGTGACAGGTCATGCCACAGCTCCATGTCCTTTAAAACCAGTCACTCTGGAGACAATAGTAGTCAACTGTGTGGTGGGACAGGGTAAGGACACAACCAGTCTTTTCACATTTATTTTTGTGTAGACAAAACGGTATTAATGGAATGTTTTTCACCTTCCCACTGCCTGTTTTGATATTGTTTGTTTAAAATGTATATTTAGAATGGAATCATCTGAAAAGCTGATCTTGCTAACCACCTTTGAGGGGATATGTCATAAGAATGTATAAAAATAAAAATCTAAGAAAAAATCCCACATTGTTCCTAAAGAGAATGAATGTTTTCCAGTAGGTTTTTTTGTGGTTTTTATTTAAATTCTAATTAAAGCATATATGTGTTTATGTGCATGTTTTTTTATGGTGGCACAGAATCACTGGGGAGAATATATGTGAAAAGTCCCAGTTCTTTAATTCCTCACCTGAATTAGAACTCGATATTGTTAGCACAGAACTAGAAAGCATGGCAGACAGAGCATAAACCACTGGCTTGTATCCAAACAGACTGGACAGTTTGTGGTAAGAATGTCATCATGACATCCTGGAAGGCTAGTGACAGTAGTGTGACCAACCATCCCGTTTGGCCTTGAATGGAGGGGTCTCCTGGGACATGGGACTTCAGTGCTAAAATGAGAACAGTCCTGAGCACACCATGATGGTTCATTACTAACCTTAAGTGCAAACCGGAATGGCTAATCATGCCCATCTCTTAGGAGCTTGAAAAAAGTGCGCTAGTTTGAGACAAAGGAGTAGATACTCTTACCTGTTTGTAGCATTGTACAAAAACACAACATGAATAGCTAGACTCTTCCTTTCATTTTGAAGTTAAAACATTTAATAGATGGGAGACATTTGATGGAACATTCCTAAATTCATTCTTTCTCAGGGTGGTGGCTAAATGTTTTAAAAAGCGTTTTAGTTTCTGTGATTCCAAAATACTATATCCTACAAGAAATAGAGGAAGAAGTAACATCATAATTTACATTTTGTTTTTTCAAAAACCTAGCGTGGGCTCTTAGTCTGCTCAGGCTGCTATAACAGAATACCACAGGCTGGAGGCTTAAACAATGGACACTTATTTCTCACAGGTCTGGTGGCTCAAAATCCAAGACCAAGGTGCTGGTGGATTAATTCTTGGTGGGGGTCCTCTCCTGGTTTGTAGACGGCTGCCTTCATGCTGTGCCCTCACATGGTAGAAAGATCATTTCTCTTGTGTCTCTTCTTATAAGGGCACTAATCCCATTTGTGGGGCTTCACCTTCATGTACTAATTACTTCCCAGAGGCCCCAGCTTAAATACTTTCACATTGGGCTTTAGGGCTTCAGCATAGGAATTTCTGAGGTGCACAAACATTTTTGAGGCAGACTCCGTGTGATATCATATTTAAAATGCTTTTCCACCATCCACATCAAAACCCGTGTCTTCAACTAGATAGAACACTTGGTGAGTAGTGACATCTCACGCCTTCTTTGAATGGTGCCTTCAGCCCACAGGCCTATCTGGGATGGGTGCGTACTAGCAGGGGTGGCCTGTATAGTCAGCTGTCACACTGTCGAGGACAAGGGACCCAGCCTCCCTCCACCCTGCCATGAAACTTTGGTTTATTTCCCCCATCAGTTCTCAAGGTGGCCAGCACAAATGGACCCAGAGTGGTTTTGGCTTTCCTACTGGGTGCTGGAGTGGGAGGGGGCCGTGCTGCATCCTGCTGCCATATTAGCTGCAGCCTGCAGCCCTGCTGGGCCCCAGCCCATGGGATTAGGGTGGGGATGAGAAGGAACAACACTGCCTACCTCCCATTCCCACCCTCTGTGCGCTCATTCACCTCGTTCCGGCACGGGACCTCACCACCAACAGCATGGAGAGAGGTGCTCAAAACATGTCCCTCTATCTTTCCATTCTCGAATGACGATGGCCTCCCCTCCAAGAGACTAAAGACCACTGTGGACATGAGCACTCATCCCACCTCACCCTCTTACCACCTACATGGGAACACAACTGGGAGAGTAGGGGACCAAGGGCTGTGCCAACTCCAAAAAAAAAAGCTCTCCAGAGTGGTGGCCACATTTCTCCTGCCTGGAGTGGAGGCCACAGCTGGCAGCATCAGGGAGTCAGCATCCCTCCTTGCAGCTCCTCCGTGCCCGCCTCACTCCTGCTCAGCTCCCTTCACTCCCTTACACCTGCCTCCCCTGACCTCTAGGAAAAGTCAGGGCCATTTATCACCTACCCCGTGGTACCGGGCTCTTTCCCTCAGTTGTCATCAGCCAACTCCACTATTATATGTTTAATGACTAGCGTCCATGTTGGATGGCAAGCTCTGAGACGATGGGGACAGTGTGTCTGTCCTGTTTGTCGTCGTGCCCTCAGTTCTTAGCACACGCCTGGTACATCCTGGGTGCTCAGCCAGATTCAATAAGTGCCTGAGTGCATGAGTGAGGAGAAGCTCCCTCGGTGCCCCTTTCCAGGCTCTGAGGAGCTCTGAGGCGACTTCATTTTACAAACACTGACCCCAGGACTTCCAAATTTCCTTTTAGTAGCATTTTATTCTATTACCTTCCTATATAAGAAAGGGCTTTCCCCAGAATCTTACTGCTCCAGATCTGACTCCAGGCCTGCCCAAGGGGCTCTACACCGTGTGTGTGTGTGTGTGTGTGTGCGATCAGATGTTGAGTCTACTTTCCTACACAGGAAGTTTCGAACTTTTGAAGAGAAGCCTTTCAGCCACAGTAGTGCTGATGGGTAAAAATTCTTGCTGGCAAGAAAAACCACTAAGGTGGTAAAAAGAAAAATGCTTTATAGCAGCGCCAAATCACCGGGAAGGGCATCCACTGTCAAAAGGTGGCCCATGGGAAGTTTATGGGACCGCTGTTGCATTTGGAGCAAACAGCCTAGAAAATCTGCCAATGACTGTTGAAGGCCACCTTCTGGCTGGAGAGAGATTTATAGAGCACCCTAAGTGTCAGCACCCAGGCATGAGCAGAGCTTTTGGTGGGGGTGGGCTCAGTCGGCTGCGTTGGGCCTGGCCTTCCCCAGCGCGGTGTGTTGCGGCCCACAGGTGCAGAAGGCCGCCTTGGCTCTTGGGGGCTGCCGAGGCTTCACGGCCTTCTCGGGGGCCCTGCGAACAAGTAGAGGGTGGGGTGAGTGGGGCGCCCCTCGACCTGCCCGCGTTTTGCGCCCAATCTTCGCGGCTGTGAAGACAAGCCTGGCGGTTGCTGAGCTACGTTTCGTGAAGGAGCTTCAGGAGGGACTGTAAATGAGAGGAGACTCATGGCACAGGAAGAGAAAACGCAAGGTTTCTTCTCCCATTTTCGAATTCCTTGTGACCATTCTTGCTGAGCTGACACAGTCAACCCTCAGCTGCTAAAGGGGCCTGGGCCCAGCGGGTGGGCTCCGAGACAGCCCCCCGCCACACCCCGCTAGCTGTGTCCCGCCTGCGGCACTTCCCTGAGCAGGGCCTTGGCCGTCAGTCTGCGGGCTCTGGGTGTACGCAGGCTGTGCCGTAGTGAAAACCAGAAGGCCGGCCGTCAAGGTGAAGTCAGAGGGCTCTCAGGGGCAGCCTGAGGCAGGGCTCCCGCAGGCCAAGCAGGGCTCTGTGCCCTTGCCCTCCAGCAGGTGAGATGACCTGCAGGAGGACGAATCCCAGGCTGTGTTTCTGACATTCTTCAAGAGCTAATTTCTTCCTAGTATCTGGCAAGAAGATATTTCACAACTGGGTATTCAAAGGAACTGGGCTTGCATAGTTTATGAGTTATGGGGAAGTCAGTAAAACTTTCCACGGAAAGTTCCGTAGTACCTTACAGAACCAGCTTCATCTGAGATTCTGATTGCAGGGGAAATAGTGTGAGGGGAGGCCAACTCACTTGGACAGGACATCCATGGTCTGCTGGGTGGCCAGAGTCCTCTTGTCCTGTGGTCCATATAAGAGGGTCTGGATCTGAAGACACTGCAGAACACCAAGTAGTAATTGTGAGGTTATGGAAATGTCACTGAGAGCATTTTGCAGGAAAATCAAGTCTCCCTTAAATGAGAGAATACTTCATTCATAGACCCATGCTATGACGGAATTAGTGTATTCTGAGTTTCTTCCAGGAACAGTCTGACCTTCAATTTGGATGCCCTGAGGAATCCAGGAAACAAATGTACAGTTTTAGCACTATTTTGTAGAACTCTCTGTGACTATCCGTATGCAAAACTATGTTTAAAAGTTATGTTTCTAGAAAATAAAGGCAAGAACATTTCTACCGACCAGAGGAGGGGTCTCTAGTTTCTAATTTTAAATGACCCTTGCTACAGCCCAAAAAACTTTTCTTCTTTTTAAAATGTTTTTGCTTTTTTGTAAAGAAGTGCTTTATCTTATATGGGCTTTCTATATTCATTACTGTGCAGCAATTTCTTAGGAGTTGATTTATTTAGGAGTTAAATATTCAGCTGTATATTATCCAGGACTGGCTTTGGCTTGGTTTCTCCCTTCTGCTTATTGTCCTGCCATTTGGTTGCTTATACTGGGCCAGGGAGAGACATGAGAGTTGTGCCCAAAATGGTCAAAATAATTTTGAAGAAGAATGAGATGGAGGAGCTTGCTTTGCTGAATGTCAAGACCTTTTATAAAACTAGAGTAATTAAGACAGTGTGGTTTTCATCCAGAGACAGACAAATATATCAACAAAACATGGCAGAGAGTCTAATACTTGATAGATTGACAGAAGTGGCCCTGAAGGGTCCATGAGGAAGAGCTGAACTAGTCAGTAAATGGAACTGGTTTTCCAAATGGAAGGAAATGGATCCCTGCCCCATATCAAACACAAAAATTAATCCCAGATAGATTGGGGAACTAAGTGTGAAATTAAAACTTGGAACTTATAGATGAAAATATTGAAGGATACGTTTATGGTCTTGAGGTAGGGAAGTATTTCTTAGACAAGATCCAGACAAATCAAGAGTAAAAGACTGATGAAATTTAACTATATTAAAATTCAAAACATCTGTGCACCAAAATGCACCCTAGGCAAGGTACAGACAAACCAGACTGAGGGAAAATATTTGCACAAAACTGGAAAAGGATTAGCATAAAGCACTCATACAAGGTAATGAGAAAAAAAGCCTACCAACAGAAAAATGATCAAAAGATGTAAACAGATATTCAAAGAAGTTGAAAACAGAATGGCTAATAACCATGCCTAAGCTCACTAGTAATCAGTAATGCAAACTAAAACTCCAATGAGATTGCCCCTTCACCTACCAAACTGCAAAAATTATAGTCTGATAACGATAACACCAAGCTTTGTCAAAGATACGAAGCAACAAGAACTCTTTTATACACTGATAGTGGGTGTTAAAGTTGGTACAACCAATTTGGGAATCTTTTGTAGAACAATTTGGGAATATTTAGTAATGGATAAGTAAACTGTGATATATGTGTATTGTTTATGCACGATACCACACAAATTTTTGATGTGTGTATGTCGCCACATGGATGAATCTCATGATTGTAGAGAAGAAAAAGAAAATAGCAGATGAATGCATATAATATGTGTGCACATATTTGTATGTAAAATAAAACCATAGTAAAATAATAAAGATGAGAATGATATCTAATTCAGGATAGTAGCTATCTGGAGATGGGGTGGGGAGGGGGCTTCAACTGGATAGGTCACGTTTTATTTCTTATACTGAATGGTAATCTCAGAGGTGTTTGTTATATTATTCGTACTTTTCCTTATATCTGAAATATTTCATATTTTTAAAAGATTGAATGTGTTTTTCTACGTGGTAACAGCTCGAGTCACAAAAGTTTTGGGGTTTGGGGACATCATACTGAAGACTGTATTCATTCTGATTGGCCAACTGTTTTTAGGTCTTTGGGAAAATTAACACACAGGCAGCCAAAATACTTTGTCTTTATGAGCTGTGGAAAACATGAAGACCATCTGAATGTTTGGTTCAATCTGAGGAATTGAGAATGTGATTCTGGATTCTGAGAATGTGGTTGTCTTTTGGAAGAAGGAAATATTAGATGAAAATATGGCAAGATTTTTTATATAACAAAATATTCATTATTTCTTAGCTGAATTATATAACACCTAAAAAGGAGTAAACATTTTCCTGTTATTCTATTTAGTATATAATCCAAATTCTGTAAAGGCAAGGATCCTAGCCCTTCCGCCCAGCAATCCCCAGACTTTCTGAATCTGCACTGGGGCCCTGGCTTGGCCTAGGCAATGTGCTGCTCATTCCCTGGGTTTGAGCTAGCGTTGCTTTAATCCACAGAGAGTTTGTTGTGACCTTGGAAATTTAGGAACCTTGAGAAAGTTCTGTGTTGCTTTGAGGGGAAGAAGATGGAGAGGGACACTGATGACAATTGATGTAACCTCTTCTAGCACTCTTCCCCATTTGGCTCACAGCTGCTGGGAGCCTGGGTACTCACCACCCAAAGCCCGGCAGAGGAGGCTCAGATGTGGACAGCGAGCGAGAAGCAAGCCTGCTCTCCCTCATCCATGTTAGTCGGGGAGAGGCCTCTCTCCAGGGCTAACACATCTTGCCAGACAGACTTCATTTTCTCCTACCTGGCCAGGAATACCTTCACTCAGTGTAAAAGATCAGGTCTAATTTTAAACCCATCCAAACTTCCCTGTTTACATATTTATGAGTGCCTCAGATGCAGCTCATTTTGAGACGAGCTGATGTTGACATGCAATGGTGTTAATTCATTCACTGAAGCATTAGAATTTTACTGACATTATAACGATTATTTGAGAAAATCTGAGGTCTCAGGACACTCTGCCTTAAGAGGTGGCCTCCAGAATCTGAAACTCAGGAGGAATTTCCATCATGCTCCTTTGGTTATTGAAGTTTCTTCTCCCTGGCCCCTCATCCTCTAGGGAAGGAGGTATTATACTATTAGCTGAATATTCACAATTCCTGGGAAAAAGGACATGGCACCTGACAGGACTTACACGGATTCTCACCGGTTCTGCTATAACCACATCTATCCCAGACCTTGTTGCTCATTTTCACTGGGGGTGTTATGATAGTAGAGAGAGTGGAGTTAGGAGAGAGGGTCGTGGTTGGGTAAAGCAGCCCTTTTCAATAATCAAGCCCACAGAGAGGTGAGCCCATCCCCATCCTACCCCCTATGCCCCAGCAGTCAAGACTCTTCTCTTTCTGGTGCTATTAGGGTTTTTTTTTAAGGCTACTTATACTCACTAAGGGACTTTGCCCAAAACTGTAGCTGAAGAGGGAAGAGATGTAAAGGGATGTCAACCAGGAGAGGGAAACAGACCCTCAGCCCCAATCCCTTTTGTGATGACAGTGCCCAGGGAGGCCATACCAGGCACCGAGACAGGAAAAAGTGGTTCATCCAGTAATTGAACTGGTCTTCAAATGCTATGTTTTTGTTTTTTGGGTTTTTTTTTTGCGGTACGCGGGCCTCTCACCATTGCGGCCTCTTCCGTTGCGGAGCACAGGCTCCGGACGCACAGGCTCAGCGGCCATGGCTCACGGGCCCAGCCGCTCCGCGGCATGTGGGATCTTCCCGGACCGGGACACGAACCTGTGTCCCCTGCATCGGCAGGCGGACTCTCAACCACTGCGCCACCAGGGAAGCCCCAAATGCTACGTTTTTTAAAAAGTGTAATAATCCATTACTGACTTTTACTAGGCAACACCTTACATAGCTATATATTTATCTAAGAAACATAAATTGAATTTTTCAGTGTTCTGTGGCTCTTAGCTAAATTTGTTTAAGCATTTTTGCGTGAGGTAGGTTTTGTTAAAAACAGGTATTAGAGACAAAGTCAATAAATGTTAATTGAACCTACTGGCAGCTAGGCATTGTAAACATCTCGCTGAACTAAGTAAAGAACTCCTCAAACCTCGATAGGAGAACATTCTCCATCATAAATAAAGGTATTCTGTACTCTCCAGATTCTTCCAAGGAGGCCAGTGCACTCTGGTCTGAAATTAGCCTCCAAAGGGTGTTTCTCGTTTTCCTTTTGAGTGGACAAAAAACAAATTTTGAGGATCCAGATGAAGTTTAGGAAGCCATTATATTGCTTGTGCTCTCTTTGATTTTACCTGCAGGGGTTGGGAGAAGTCACTTGTGTTTTTATTATACCTTAGATACCAAACAAGGAGCTTTCCTCTCTCTCCCTGCAGGAAGACAAAAGGGAACTCGAGCTTTCACAGCAGCCTGCAAGCTGTCCCCAAAGGGGCCATGTTTGTCTTGCTCACCTTTGTGTCCCAGGGCCTTGCACAGTCCCTAGCACCTAAGATGCAATATTTGCTAAATGAATGAATAAGTAAGTAAAGCAAAAGGTCAACTGATGAAATTCTTATATGACAACCTTAGGACATGGCTGGACCACAGGGCTACTGAAACCTCTGGTAGGGAAGCTCCACTGTGGGTGCAGCGTTACAGACCTCCACCGTCATAATCTGGGCACGTTCAATAGCAGAAAGAAAGAGTGCTCTCCCCCAGGTGCTGCTTTCTCTTAGGTGTCATTCATAAAGCCAGGGGAGTTAAGACACAGTCTTAAGCATTTGATGAGAACCTTAAAAATTATATTTGACATGACTTTGAGTATTGAAAGTTAGGTTTCTAAGGAGCCCAGGAGCCAAGGAATCTGGGATAGGAGGCACCGGCTTGCTGTCTTGGCTGCAGCCCACCTCTGTGCCCCAGAGCTCGCACCCTTCCCTGCGTGGACGTATGTGTGGACATAGCTTGCACCCTTCCCTGTGTGGACTGAGCCCTGTGTGGGCTCAGTGGCAGCTGCGGTTTGGAGGTTAGCTGACTCAGTCTACTCTGGCTTTAGAAAACCACAACAGTTTTAGAAAACCTGAACTCACAAGGAAGCATATTTTCTGATTTTGGGGGGGATCTCTGAAAATCTACAGTTGGTACTCAGGGCCATTTCTAGTCATGGCAACGCCCCTGCAGAAGTGGGT